ACATCGCACACAAAAAAAAAAAAAAAAAAAAAAGAATTCACCATAGGGTAGGGAGCTAATGTCAATATTTTTCTAAAAGTGGGGACTGTAGTGTTTGTAAAAGTGTGTAGGGGACTGAACTTAATATCAAAATACCAATGGGATATACATCGAATTGTCCATTTTTTTTTTAAAGAATAATAGAATTTTTTTTAATAATGCAAAGTATTTTATCATTTGAAATTGAATTTTTAAAATTAAGCCAGGGGAAAATAAAAATAGTGAGCCTAAATATTTATATTAATATCATAATAGAAATTAACTTTATAATTTTTTTCAGATTTAGTAATAAAATTACTGTTTTTATATTAAAGTATCAAAATATAAATATGTTTAATGTGATATTTTTAATATAAAATTAAATTTTATTATAATATAAAAATAAATTTTCTATTTAATAGCTTTTTGAGAATTTTTTTATGAAAAATAAAATCTTTTAAAAAAATGCTCCAAACTAAAGTGTTTGCTTACTTTTTTTATAGAATACAATTTTTAAAAAAAACATTTTATTAAAAAATATAATAAAGTATACAAATTTTAAATATATACATATATAAAAGTAAAGATAATAAAAAAAAACCCTAAATATCTTTCTTCTCATATTTTCATAATTTTACATATTTCATAACAAAAAGATACTAAGTATAAAATTACACAAGCATACTAAAACTTATAAACAAACACATAATAAATAAAATATTTTAAATATTTAATATAAAAATAATTTATTTCAAAAATAAATACAATATAATTTTTTACCAATTTTATAATTTTTTTAAAATTTTAATAATAATAATAATAATAATAATAATAATAATAATAATATATTTATATATGAGCATATATATTATTTAGGTCATATGGCCTCAATTAGAATGGGTTCCTATAGTTCTAGCCCAAGACAGACTTGAGTCAATAAATTATGTGCGAACTTTATAATAAAATTTAAAAATTCTGCAGATATTTAGATAATAGTGAAATTGTATTTTCACTGCACCTCAAACAGAGTGCAAATAAGGTAATCTCAAATATCTAATGGATTTTTGAATCAAAATTTTTTTTTACTTTAAAAACTTGTTTTTAATTGTTTAACTGTACAATCTTCATAAATATTTATACAGTCAGTAAGATGATATGATTTGCAATGTTTGTTAATTTTTTAAAATTAGGGTTTTTGTGAACTAAATGCTCTTTGTGATTGATTTGTTATACAACACATATAAACGAACAAATAATTTATTTATTTTTTTACTTTTTCCCATTGGGTTAGTGATTTATCCATGACATATTCTTCAATCCAAAATTCAGAATATATGTTTTATGTTGCGTTATTTTTACTTGTTCTTACGTTGGAGGATGTTAGAAATTTTGGGGAAAAATAATGAGATTGTCTTTTTATAATCAAAGGAATATATAGCAATACAAAACAGACTCATCTAAGTAATTTAATCTATGGATAAGATCAAATTTAAATATAAATCTACTAAATCAAAACTGAATATCTAAAATATTTCAATATTCTCCCTCAACTCAACTGGTATAACATAAACCAATTTGAGTTTGATAAGAAAGTTGAAGACAGACCCACAAGATGCAAATAAAAATAACAGTTGCTTGTCTACCATTGCCGCCGCCGCTCTACCATGTCAAAGCCAGAAACAATGCTCTCAACTGAATTAGAGTCGAAAACTACATGACTCTCTACTAGAGCTGAAAACGACATAACTCTCTACTAGAGCCAAAAACGACGGGAGTACTCTCCACAAAGTCGGAAATAACGGGAGTCTCATTACAATCAGAAACATGGCTCTGGAGAAACACAGCAGACAGATCGCAGAATCGCAGACAAATGCGCAAAGATGACTTCAATCATAGATAAAATCCAAATTAGAAAAAAAAAAAAAAAAAAAAAAAGCTAGAAACTATAGAAAAAATTTCCAAATTGGGAGACCTCCGGGTACATCCCATGTCTAATATATGGATAAGTAAGATCAAATCTAAATATAAATCTACTAAATCTAAAATTGAATATCTAAAATATGTCAACAGAGGACATCATACAATTGTGCAAATAAAGTTTATATTGGAAGAATATGCATATTAACTCGATGTTGTGCAACCTAGATCACTTAACGGCACCGAAATGTACTTAATCAGGTTTGAATGCAAATTTCCATAGGAATACATCAAAAATTTAATTATCTTATCAGTTGTAACTTTTCCTTCACAACTTCCCTTCTATAACAAGGAATATTTGTTGTGTTATATTTGAATTCAATTTAATATTCAAATTAAATTTGTTACCTATCCAACAGTTTGATATACTAGAACAGCAAGATGAATTCACATCATATTTTCGATCAACAATGCAATGTTTTTGTTGTGTTTAATTTGTTTGTAATTGTCTCACTATCTTTCCTAGAAGATTTTGTTTTATTATTTGTCAAGAATATCTGGCCTGTCATTACATTTTCCATTAATATATGCTTTAATTTGTTATAATTATTATTTTGTTTTATGTGTGCTATTCTTAATTATGATTTCATTGTTAGTCCAGACAAAAGGGTCAAAATGGAAGGAAACTCAGTTGCACTAATAATAGCTAGAGACATATTTTGGACTTCCTGCAATAGGTGCAATACATATTACGATTACCGTAATATTTATTTAAATGAACACTTGGAGTGTCCTCGGTGCAGGCAGCCTTTCAGGGCAACAGAGATTCCTGCTCCTAATATAAAATCCTGGGGATCATCTTATTGGAATGTCTCTCTCAATACCGAAGATCTATCGACATTCTTGGATTGTTTGGGAACTGTGCCACCCCAGCAACGGAAAGCTGTGGAAACATTACTCCAGGAATGGTGGAACCACTTCCAGCTCCAGCTTCCGCTCCGAATGCTGGATTGAGGAATCCTGCAAAGAACAAGCAATTAAAGAAGACTGCTGAGATGAGATTTTCAAAAATTGACTTACATGATGTTCTAATTAAAACCACCTGAAAAATATCACAAAATGAGTGGTGGGATACTATACAGAGGTTCAAAAGCACAGGACCATATACAAAAATAGAAAAAAAGTATATGATTGACCAATATCCTAGAAAGACTTAGCCAACACTTGGCCATTGCCGAATCTGAGAGATTATTGATGGTCTATATGATTTTATGAATTGATGCCCAAATTGACGTCCAATGTGGTGATGTATTTAGTTTTGTTTTTCATGCAATATGCATCATTGAACTGTTTTGGTATTGTACCTATGTCATTGTTGTAACTTTCATGTCTTAAAAAAATCTAGCAATGCCAAAACCTCATGAACAATTTAGAGGTACAAGATTGTTTTAGCTTTTCTTGCCATATAATATTATGGAAGTTTTATGACAGTTATTGTCACTACCAAAAAATCTACCATTTGTAGCTGATGTATTGTTCGTAACAATAGTTCAGTCACAAAAATTATTTTTTGTTACGATTTTTGTCGGAACAAAAAAAAATTGGGCTGGTCAACATATTTTTTTTATTTGTTTCGATCGTTTATCCGTAACAACTACAATTGTAACGAGATTTGGTATCTGTTACGTACAAAAAATAATAATAATAATAAAAATAATGGTAGCAGGGTCTTGAAGGAAGGTAGGACCCGAAGTCGGGCAGAAAAGTAAAAAAAAATTTGCGCTCAGGTCGGTTGGTCAGGTCGGTTGGTCCTCGGTCGGTTGGTTAGCGGGTCGGATGGTCCATAGGTCGGAAAGTCTGTAGGTCGGTTGGTCAGCAGGTCTGATAGTCAGGTCGGAAGGTCTGTGGTCGGGTAGTCAGGTCGGTTGGTTAGAGGGTCGGATGGTCCATAGGTCGGAAAGTCTGCAGGTCGGAAAGTCAGTAGGTCAGATCTGCAGGTCGGTTGGTCAGAAGTCAGACCAAGTAAGTCGGCTGCTAAGGAGGTCGGGCGAAGTAAGGTCTGGTAATTGATTGCCCACTTAAGTGAACAGTAGTTTGGTCGCTTGGTGGGGGCGGTCAAGGAGTTGTTTTGGTCTGGCGATCATCAGTTAGTCTCTGAATTGGTCGGCTGGGTATGCGGTTGGCCAGACGGGTGAAGACACGTGTCAATAAAGGAGGGGGGATTTGCTATAACTGACCAGGCAACGTTTCAAAACGTTTCTTTTGGGCAGTTGACGGCGGTTGTTGTAACCAACCAAGCGACGGTTCCAAGCGTTTTCTTCAAGGAATATTTAAGGATTTCGATTTTTCTGAAGAAGGCATCTTCAATCAACTTCAACAAAGCAAAGTCAGATTTGGGGATCACCACTTTAAATTTTCAGCATTTTAATTTCCAATTATTTCCTTTTATGTACCGTACAGTGTTTAGAGATTCCTAATCTTAGACGCTAATTAATCAAGTTTAAAGATATTTTCTATATCTTTGAATTTTACTTTTTGTTTGTTGAAAAAATACATCAACAGTATCTATGTATTTGTTACGTATACCAAACTGTAATAAAAAGTCAATAGTAAAATAACAAATAATATTTTTTAAGAAATCTATATAAAACTCAATCAAAAAAATAATAATTAAAAAATAATTTTTAATTGTTTCGATAGTTTATCCGCAACAACTACAACTATAACGACATGGGGTCCTGTATGTATTTGTTATGTATATAAAAAAAGCGTAACAAAAAATCAATATTATAATTATAAATATTTTTTTAAAAAAACAATCTATATAAAATTATTTTTAAAAAATAATAATTAAAAAGTAATCAAGAATAGAAATCGTGTTAACTTTCTTCATTTTCTCAACATATATTAACCACTTAAAAAATATATTTATAAAATATTTTAAAAATATATAATAATTTAAAAAGAATAATGATAAAAAGCGTGTTAACACTTTCTCTTCTTTCCCAACATATATTAACATTTTTCCATTTATGTACAATTTCATACATACACACGCTCTCATTTTCCTTTTCCCCCAAATCGCCTCCCGATCCACACACAACAAGAAGATCTTCTCTACACTTCACTCCGATCTACCGTCGCTGATTTGACGCTCGTGTTCTCTGAGTTATGGCCAGCGTAAATCTTCCTTGCTGCATTTAGTTCTCACGATATCGAACGGTGAGTTAAAACCTAGGGCATTCTATTTTGAAGCTATGAAAATTGATTTTTAGTTTCTTTAGTGTTCTAGGGTTTTGGATAATCTTCTTGTACAAATTATTTCATACTTTTACCTGGTAAATAACGAGTTTTGTTTTATAATTTGTCTTGGGTAAATACCCAGTATGGATGTATTTTCTGAAATTGACTTTTTCATGGTTGAATAATACTCATTTCATCAACTTTCATTTGTAGGATTAAGTTATTGAACAACGAGGTGCTGCAGACGTGGACTTATAACTGTTTGAAGATCGTATATTAGGTAATGTATTATGTGACTGGAGATTCTAATTTGTTGTTCTTTTAAAGTTTTATCAACTCTGTTTTCATAAAATGAAGTTTACAAAACATTGCATCTTGGTGTTGTTTAAAATGATGTCTTTAGGCATGGCATATGTGTCATGACTCTCCGGTTTGTATAGGAAATACTAAAAACCTTAAGCTCGAGAGTCGATGATGGATAAGTGGTCTTTGAGTTTCTTCTGAAAGTGAAAGAAAAATAGAAGACGAGAAACAGTTTTGACACTTCCCCCTTTAACCAATTTTTTCTGCAGATTTTGTTTTACTTTCAGTCTTCCATTTACTTTTGTCCCGAGTCTGGTTATTGTTACATTTATTGTTCTTTTTCTCTTTTCCACCTACTTCATTCAATCTCAATCTATGTGTACCAGTCTTCAATCGCTTTGAAATAATGATTTTTTTTTTGGCTATGTGGATTATGTATATATATTGTTGTTGGTGATATATATATACACGCTATGTTGGTTAACAACACTAAGCCTTTATTACTCCATGGTTATTACAGTAGACTGTTCTGTTGCAAATCTTACATTTTTCTATTTCCAATTTCTAACAATGATGTTATCATTTTGGTAAACAGACCTTTTCTCCTTCTGTGGTTTGCTCTGCCCGGCTGGCCCTTTCTTGATTGGGGCTGTAGCAAATAATATTGTTATTAAAGTAATATTCTCATTATTGAGTTTCTACTTTTTATCCCATAGGGCTTTCTTTTTCGCTATTTTATTTTCCTGGGACAACCTTAATTATCCTGATATAGCATTCCCAGTATTCTTTCTGAATCTACTTGTTGAATGCTAGAAATATGTAAATGGAATGGAAAAAAAAGAAGTCAAACTACTGAGGTTTTCTTTTTCTTTTCCTTTGTGTGCGTTTAACGTTTTTTATTTGAAAATATGATAATATTGTTGGGTGAGATGTTTTTGGACAAAATAAGTTAACACAAAAAACTGTGATGTGATATTGACAGCAAAAGATTGCGAAATGGGCGAACAAATCATAGATGTACAGTTGCGTTCCCTATTCTCACAGGAGAGCAACATTACTCTGCCATGACTGTAATAATTGTCTACATTATGCAGTACTTTTAAAACTGAGCATATTCAAGCTTTCATGTATTTTATATACATTTTTATGGCCGGACATAGTATTGGGAGTTATAATCTCTTACTATCCAGTTTAGATCTTGCCAAAATATGTTATCTTTTATTTTAGATATGTTGATGAAAATCAAACTTATGTTTTGAAATGTAATTTCTTCAAACTTTCAACGTTTTTCTCTTGATGTATAATACATTTCAGGGATTGTAGTATGGATTTTGGAATGAAGTGAATGCGATTTTACTTACACAGCATTTGTTATATTGACGATTTAAGATTTGAAAGCTACGACAGTTGTATTAGTCGATTATATTTGTTAGGTTGTTTATAGAGTATTGAATTCTTATCCGAGTTTTGAACGATCCCATCCATAAACTGAGAACCATCTTCTTATTATGTACTTTCTATTGCTAGTTTTGCATGATTTTATATAGCATATTCTCATCCATTTTCAAACCGAGTTTTATGATTGTGTTTTATGAATTCTGATTGTGTAGTTGTACAACGTGAAATGGACATAAAATGGATCATGTGTAAGATTGTTATATCTAGCATCTGGTTATATTGTTCTAGGGCATGTCTATTTGGGTTTAAGGTAGTCGTATGGTCGAACGTTATTTGTAGTGCTTAATTGGTGGTTAATTTGTTGCTATTGGAGAGCTATGTTGGTTTCTTTTACTGAAGGATTGCCGATCTATAATCATGGTGATTTATAAATATTAGTATATGTGTAAGGAGAGTTGGCCCCTATGGTCCATGTTGTGTTATTTATTTTCATAATGTTCAGGGGTCAGCCTATTTTATTAGTGCTTTTTGAGTGTATTTGTTACTATATTTGTATTTAAGATAGGGTCCCTAGATCAAAGTTAAAACGTAAGTTTTATTTTATTATATTCATCCATAATGTTTACAGAGGGAGACATTCCTCGTAACTAGCGCTCGTTTAACCTATTTATATAGGTGATACCCTAGCCATTGTTAAGGTGTATATTACAGCTGTAATGGTCCCGGAGACCGCACTTATCCTCCCAACTAATGCTGGAGCAAAAATTTTCGGTGATGTACTCGACGGAGATAATATCGAGTAGATTTACCAGGATGTACGCAATTTTTTATTTACTTAAATCTTTTGGAAATTAAATTACTTCAATTTCTGTATTAAATGCTTATATATTATTAAAAACACATTGCAGTTGGTTCGCCGCCCGTGATTGCAGCCTCCATGAGTCTGCACTCGACTAGCTGGGTCATTCATAGTAGTGTTTATGAGTTGCCCTTGAGATCGTACTTCCGTATGATATCAGATTTATCTATTTATGTATTACTTTTTGGTTTTTCGTATCGTTATTTAGTAGGTTGTTATGTTGGTGTACGGATTGGTGTTTTGTTGGGATGTTTTGTTAGCACCGTTGATGACTAATATTTTATTTTTGGCTGGACTATGAACATCATTGTATTGATGACCATGTGTACTATTTTAATGGATTTGGAAACAATTATGATAAGATTTAGTTTTAAATTATTTGTCTCGCAGATTAATAATACAAACAAATGGAATTTATTTATGGCGACAAAACTACTATGCCATAGAGGGACGTCTTTTGTAGCGTATTTTTAGTTACGGGCAGTGGTCGATACAAATGTTAATGTATGGTTGCCTGACTTTTGTCATGACTTTTTGTTGCAGAGTAATTTTGTAACAAACAACTTATTTGTTAGGGGGCAGTCCTTTTGTAATGTATTGTTGTTACGGACAAATCTTGTAACAAGAAGTTTTCTGACAAGATTAGATATTTGTAACGCATTTGTTGATTCGGACATATGTCGTAACAAATATTTCTCTGACAGTATTCAACTTTTGTTCCGCATTATTTGTGTCGGATATTTGTTGATTCAAAAACATAATTGATGTTTTTGTTACATACCAAAAAACGTAACAAATATAATTAACACGTACTTATTTTGAGAGTTGACCATCAAATATTTGTTACGGATTTTGTTGCAACACGAACTTTTTGTACCGCGAATTTTCGTAGCGGTCATAATCCGTAACAAAGTTGACACAAAAAGCTTTTTTGCACGAAAAATGGGTTTTAGTTACGAATATTTGTCCATTACAAAAAGACCTTTTTTTGGTAGTGTGTGTGAGTTATTTTAGAAAAATTACTAGAAACCACACAGGGGGTTATGTTGTTCGGCAGATTTTCATGATTTTTTCCTAACAGAATTAACACCAATATGCATTAAAGCTGCAAATTAACACCCATTTTCTGTCATCAGTTATATATACACCCTATTGATATGTTAATATAGATTTCTTCGAGTTTTATAATTTCAAAAATTTCCTGTACGGACAAAATATAAATGCTTTTGTGACTTTAAAATCCATGCTAATGCCACAACCTCAACAACAATATAGTCATTGAATATTTCAAGCTTCCGCTAATTTAATGTTGTGGGCCTATCATGGAATTGCGTGATGTATTCAGAAAGATTGGAAATATCATGGAATTTGATTTGGAGACTTCCTCCCATGTTGCTCTTTTTGTAATGGAGTAATGCTATGTATACGAAAAAGTTGCGGAATGGTTGCACCATTTTTGTTTAGATTAATTTATGCCTTATGTTCAAATTTTAATCATTCACTTTAGTCCATGATGCAACAGTTCTTTGCAGTCTTTTTCTTCTAATTTTTCAATGGTAATATAGATGGTAAGCTTATCATGAATTTCCTTTCCCAGATAATAAACCATTAATGAAAATTAACTTAAAAAACAAGCGATAATTGGGATGTGTTGGAAATGTTATGAGAATTTATCCAGGAACCCTCCAAAATGATCAATACAATATTAAATAGCAAGAAAAACACTAGCTTTAGGGGAAATTAACTTTTTGATGTTCTTATTCGATGGATAAAAAAAAACAGAGGAAAAAAACTGAACGAAAACAAATAAACTGCAAGAAAAAAACTGCGTGCAACTGAACACCACTTCTTTTTTTTTTTATCCTAATAAATTTGTATAAATATTAAGAAACTAAATTAGAATTACTTCCAATACTCTCCCCGTAATTCTAGTTTAGCACATTCAAATCTTTGATGCCCATCAAAGTTCTCATCTCTAAGAACTTTACTCTCGGCAGTGCCTTCGTCAAGATATCAGTTTTTTGTTCTTCTCTACAAACATATTCTAAAAATAGAACCTTCTTCAATGCATTCTCGGATGAAATGGAATCTCGTATCAATGTGTTTACTACGCCCATGAAACACTGGATTCTTCATCAAGGATATCGCAGATTTATTATCTTCGCAAAACTTTACACATTGAGCTTTTAGACCGGTCAAGTCCACCAACAAATTATGTAGCCACAACGCTTGACATGATGCTGAAGTCACAGCCATAAATTCAGCTTCACAGAAGGAGAGTGCCACAGTTCGCTGCTTTTGAGAACACCAAGTGATAAGATTACCTCCATACCGGTTGTACCTTTACGATTACGATCATCAAGATCCATGCCATGACTACTATCACTAAAGCCGAGTAGTCCTCTGTCACCTCCCTTACAATAAACAAGTCCATAACAGATTGTTCCATTGATATACCTCAGAATCTGCTTGACCGCCTTAAGGTGACTCTCTTTCGGCAATTCCATGTACCTACTCACGACTCCAACCGAGTAACCAAGATCTGGTCTGGTATGAGTAAGATATCTCAGGCTTCCAATGATCCTCCGATACTCTTTTGCATTTACAGGAATACCTATTTCATCTTTGCATAAATTCAGCTTCGGTTCCATAGGGCACTTCGAGGGATTGCAATCTTCCATACCTGCTGCTAGTAGTATTTTCTTGCCATACCCACTCTGACAAATTGTAATCTCCTTCCCGCTTTGGTGTACCTCGATTCCAAGATAGTATTAGAGTCTTCCAAGGTCACTCATATCAAATACACTTTGCATCTTTGTTTTGAACGTACAAATCTTATTTTCACTGGTTCCAGTCACGATCAAGTCAACCACATACACACCATTTATCAACAAACCATTAGATGTCTGCAGTTTCTTGACAGCTTGCTCTTGTGGGCATCGCTGAAAGCCGAGATCCTTTAGAGCTGTGTCAAGACGAATATTCCAAGCTCTTGGGGGTTGCCGCAATCCATATGTTGGGGTGCAAACCCAAGTCCTACATTGGAAGTTGTGAAGAAAATTACACACCTTATAAGTCCCAAGTGAACTACACTAGTATGAGGCCTTTTGGAGAATATTCAAAAACAAATCCGTGCGGGCTCAGCCCAAAACGGACAATATCATACTAGTGAGTTGACCCAATCCCAACAGTGGTATCAGAGCCAGGTTAGACTGTGAAGTGGACTGGGTGGCATTGGGCATTGGTTGTGGTAGTGGGCTCGCCCTCGTGACCTGCAGATGTGCCTTGTGTCGAAAAGTGTTCTGGCGGTGTTGGGTCGGTCCCGATTGAGGTGGTCAGGCAATGGGTCCCTTTGTGATAGGCGGTACAAGGTGGACAAGGAAGATCCATTGGTTGGTCTTTGGTTTGAGTGAAGGATTGTTGGGGTGCAAACCCAAGTCCTCATAGGAAGTTGTGAAGAAAATTACACACCTTATAAGTCCCAAGTGAACTCCACTAGTATGAGGCCTTTTGGAGAATATCCAAAAATAAATCCGTGCGGGCTCAGCCCAAAGTAGACAATATCATACTAGTGTTGAGTTGACCCAGCCCCAACACCATAGAGAGCCTTGTTTAGTTTGTACACCATGTTCTCCTTTCCTGCAACCACAAATCCGTCAGGTTGAATAACATATATCTCTTCTTTTATTGTTCCATTCAAGAACACCCACTTCGATTTGCCATCCTCGCGAAGCTGCCAATGCCAACAACAATCGTATAGTTTCAAGTTGAGCCACTGGTGCAAAAACTTCCTCAAGATCTACTTCTTTCTTTTGTACGTACCCTTTAGCCACTAATCTTGCCTTATGTTTCACCATGTTTCCTTCAGCATTTTTCTTTAACTTGTAAACCCATTTCACCCCAATTGGTTTATGTCCAGGGGAAAGCAATGTCAACTTCCAGGTTTGATTTTTGTTAATTGACTCAAGCTCTTTCTTCATCACCTCCTGCCAATTTCTATCACTCGCCGCCTCTTGAAATGTTGTTGGTTCCTCCCCAGCCAACATCAGTTCTGCTGGATCAACACCGAATGCTTCTGAATCTGCATAGATATTTGATAGTGAACGAAATCCACGAATGGGTGTGTGATCATAAGCTGCTGGACTCACTTCTGGACTACACCCAAATGTTTCGATCATATGCTCACTAGCAGGGGTCATATTAGTCGAGAAATCACTGTTGTTTCCATTTGGAACTATTTCAAATGGATGACCTGGACTTCTTGTTTCTTCATCACTTGGAAATTGGTCTCAATTGGCACTTTCATGCGTATCATGGACTTCACCATTAAACCAGCCTGAACAGTTGTTGGTCGATTATTTTGCACAGCAGTCCGATTCCACCTCATCTTCTCATCGAAAACAACATCACGTGCTACACATACCTTGTTCTGAAAAAGATCGTAGAGGCTATGTGCTTTGCTGCCAGGTTCTTCTCCTAGATAAATCATTTTTTAGATTTGATCATCTAATTTTGTTATATGATTCACTGGTTTTTTCACATGAGCAACGCAACCAAAAACCTTGATATGTTCAAGTGACGGTTTCTTTCCCTTCCAAGCCTCGTAAGGGGTCATGCCTTTCAACCCTTTTTTTGGAACTCGATTCAGAATATACACTGCATAACGTGCTGCTTCTCCCCAAAATCTTTCTGGTACATTCATTGCCTTCAAGAGTGATCGCGTCATTTCAAGAACAGTTCGGTTGCGACGCTCCACCACACCGTTCTGCTGTGGGCTGTATGGCGCAGTGAAGGGTCTTTTCACACCTTCAATGTTACAAAATTCATTGAACCTCTGCGATGTGAACTCACCCCCTCGATGGAAGTCATTAACATTTTCACCTTGTTTGTTCTTTTAGATTCAACTTGTGTCTTGAATTTCTGGAATGCTTGGAGCGCCTCGTCTTTACTTTTGATAACATAAACCCACATGAATCTACTGAAGTCATCCACAATTAGAAAAAAGTAGCGATTTCTACCCCACGTTTGCGGTGATATTGGTCCGCACAAAGGTGGCGAGGCTGTTTTGCTACCATGCACCCCTCACATACTTGGGAAAAAGGTGGCGAGGCTGTTTTGCTACCATGCACCCCTCACATACTTGATTTGGGTGTTTCACTCTTGGGACACCACGCACCATATTTTTCTCAACCATTGACTCCATGATTGGAAAATTAATATGACCAAGCCTTGCATGCCACAACCATGCTTCATCATCTAGACTAATAGCAAGACACACTGGTTGTGCAGTGTGAAGCTGAATCTTGTACAACCGATTTTCCGATCGTTGTACCTTCATAATCAATTTCCCAAATACATCATGTACCTTTAAATGTTCATCCACCATTTCTACCTTATATCCCGTTTTTGTTAATTGTCCTAAGCTAAGGATGTTACTCCGTATGGCAGGAATATAGTAGACATCTGAAATTAATTGTTGATCACCATTTTTACCCTTCAATAGAATAGAACCTTTACCTTCAATTTGCACCATGGATCCGTCACCAAATCGAACCTGCCCTGTTATCTCCCTATTAAGTTCCGCAAAGAATTCCAATTTTCCCGTCATGTGGCTGCTTGCATCATTGTCTAAGTACCAAAAATCATCTCTACTTCCTTGAGCAACGCCATCGTTATCGAATTTTCCCCAAAAACACTTAGAAGTAGTGTAGGTTCCTCTTCTTTCTTCTCTTTTGGCACTCTACATTCCGAAGCATTATGCTCATATTTTCACAATTGGAATATTTTATATGTCGCTTGTCTCTGTTCCGGTGTTGACTATTCCCATAGTTTCGAGGTGGAGGTGGTGTGTAATTTCGACACCCACCTCTGCCTCGTCTAGCTCCTCTTCCACGACCACCGTTCAGGCTACCTCTTTCATGATGGTATGATCCACGTCCTCTTCCACCCGAAGATGAAATTCTTCCCCAGGTTTTCTGACTTGCTGGATTATCCTCCTTGGTGAGTAATAGGCTTCCCTCACCACTCGTATTCCCACTACGAAGTTTAAGTCGATCTTCATATGCCTTGAGTCGGCCAATGGCTTCTTCGAATGGCATGGTATCTATGTCAGAACATTGTTCAATTGAAGCTACCAAATGAAAGTACGTGTCTGGAACCGAATCAAGAAGTTTTTGAACAAGCGTACTATCATCAAGTGTAGCACCAAGATTATTAAATTTCGATACCATACCGCTCAATTTTCCAGCGAAGTCATTGATCATTTCTCCATCATTCATCCTTAACCTTTCAAAATCAAGTCTCAACGTCTGTAATCTTGCCTTTTGCACTAGATCGGCTCCAAGATACCTCATCTTTAAGGCCTCCCAAATCTTCTTCGCGGTCTTTTTCTGGACACTTGCAAAAGAATATCTTCTAGCAGCGCCTGTGACAGGCGTTCGTCACACGCTGAAAATTTTAAAATAAAATAAACCTACTTCTGCAATAAAAATAACATAGTATAGATGAAGTAGGGCCGTCTCCTCAGGAAAATTAAAGGTTTTATTTTCGATTGTTTGATTTATAAATATAATAAAAAAGGGAGATTTTGGAAGTAGGAAATAAAAATAAAATAACAAACTAAAAACTCTACGACTAAAAGATAAATTCAATAAAAATAAGTTTCCAGTCTATGAATGAAATTGACAACTTGGGTAGTGATTTGATCATCAATAAATTTTTAATTCTATTGGTTTCTAATAAATTAGTTATAGTTATCGACACGCGCCTAATAACCAACTCTTCCGTAATTTCTCGACAGTCTAGGTACGCCCGTCAACTGCTTCTCTAGTTAGACTAGAACCCTAGTGACGCCACAAAGAATTTATTAGCCTAACCGTCTTGCAAAGTAGAAGAGCCTAATTTAATTTAACAATTAACTATGCAAAATTGTTTAAAATTGATTCCATAGTTTCCTAATAGTGTTTGCCACTAGTTGCTACATGAACCAAATTAAGATACAATTACGGACGCCTAACTTAGTTTAACAATTAATCTTTAATCCAATTGAAATACCTGGCCACAATACCCAACCAAATAAAAGATTATAACTCAAAGAAATCAGAAACTATAGAAATACTTAGGAACCTAAGAAATATCATAAATCAAAACAAGTCTAATCTCCCAAATCCATACCAAGTTGTTTTCCACTCCTAGACTAGAAAAGTAAACTACTCGCTAATCATAGGAGAAAGAACAAATGAAAAGGAAGCAAAGAGAAACATCGTCTGAGAATGATGTTGGTACAGGTAAAACTCGAAATCTTCTAGGAAGAATCTTTCTCCTTCTTGCCCTTGCACGGTTTCTCTCTGGAACTCTTCTGCACGGTGTTCTCGGCAAGTGGCATAAATTGGAGCCTCCACCTTCTTTCTTTCCTTTATATTTGCCCTAATTTTGTAACAATTGGGCTTTGTGCCTTTTTTTCTCTTTTCCCTATAATTCTATCAATTTTATTGTTTTTCTCCTACAAATCTTAAATAAATAATATATATCCAAATTAGGTAGAATCCAATCAAAATCAACCAAATATTGTAAATAATATAAATATTCAACGCAAGCCAAAAGAAATCGCAGGCGACTCAATATGACAAGAAATCGCAGTCAACCAAATCAATCGGAAATTCAACATATCAAGCCAAGTCAT